CACCATCGCCACCCACCCACCCAATCAAATCCTCACTGGCAGTGTGCTGCTCCTCATCTCTCTTCTCTGCTTCTTTTGTTCATCTCTCTCAGCCGCCCACACACCTACCGTCCCTCGGGCTTTTCTCTTTACACTCTCGCACACATGCACGCATTTACATTTGGCTACTTCGTATGTACTTTGTTTTATTTCTTCCTGTCCCTTCTCTTCATCACTATTAGACTTGGAGATACTGTACGTGTATGAAGGCAGGGTCTAATGTGTGCACATGCAAACAAAAACAGACACAGGGCCTATATTTAGTGCTTTTCAATACAGATGTGTGGGCAGCGGCCATCTGTGGCCCCAAATGGTACAAAAAGTAAGTGTGTGTGTTGCTGTGTGTGTAGATGTGTGTTTGTGCAGCGTGGGGCTAAGGGCCAAACTTAAAGTAGGGGTTTGAAGATTGGGGCCCGTTGTGGAAACCCCCTCCAGAGAGCTGGGAATCTCAGGGGAGAGTGGGAAAAACATCCCGACGGTCATCAATCAAAACTTCGGTGACACAAATGACCAGAAACAACGGAGCGTTCTCCATCCATGTCAGTGTGTCACCTCCGCCCCACAGGCATGTCCCACCCACCTGCGCCGCTGCCCTATAGGCCCTCGCCGCGCGCTGCCCGATGCGATTGGCCAGTCGGTCCCCGAGCGAAAATCGTGGTCCCCTCTTGGCTAATTGGGTCTTTGTGATTGCGCAGTCTGTCGTGGCGCTGGGGGAGAATGAAACGTGAAAACGGTATTATGGTGAATGGGGGAAGAGTGGCAGGTCGAAGCGGGGAGATCAGTTTTTGGCGTCTCAAAGCGCCAGATGCTCTTCCTGGGTCCATTATGATGCCTTACAGGGGATCGAGATGGTTTCGGCGTAGCAACTGGGAAGACACAAAGCGAGATGGAGACCGGCCGAGATGGAGACTCACATAAGCACATACATGCAAATGCAGGCGCTCACTCATACACTTCCCTGTTTAAAACACTCCACGAAATCAGCAAAACACTTGCTATTTGCTGCTCGGCTACTCTTTGTTGGTTGATTTTCAACAGAAGTTGTCAGAACTTATCTTTGCACACTTTGTTAAACAAAGACTAAACAAAGTGGAGCACATCTCTGTTTCAACTTTCATGCTTAAAATGTACATCAGATAGCGGAAACCCACCCCGGGATCAACATAAGTGAAAGTATTTACTTCTTCAAGCTGTGCCTCCATCAAGAGTGATTGTTCACCAGAGTCTTTGAGACAAGGGAGAGTGTAGGAGGACGGGTCATGAGCCAGCTCTTTGTTTGCTCCACCACGCTTCTACACACACACCATAGGCCGTAGTCCTGCGCCTTATTCTTTATAACTGCCTCATTATTTAAGAATGAATCAGCTGCTATTCCTTTATTGTGCCCAGACGTGGGGATTTATAGATGAAAATTATCAAAACTGTAGTTGACAGATAGTGGGGGAATGATTGAAGCCACCTTATCCTCATCAGCCTTAAAGTATCCAACAGCCTCTCCCTGCAGATCCCTGAGCATTCAGGGGGTTTGTTCGCCATCCCCCAACAACCATCAACAGGTGGCGCTGCAGTCACACTCTTCAGCGTTGTGCTCCTCAGGACAAAGAGCAGCCTCAGTAGGCATGAAGGCAACCAAATTCAAGCAGTTCAGCCCTTCATCTGGAAATTGTGACACATTCATGTTTTGGTATTCATGTGTCAGGCTGTGGAGATAAAA